AAAGGAAATGGAGATAAAAATGAGCAAAGTAAGAGAGTCTATTGTCCTGCAAAGCTTTACCTCCTGCAACTCTAACACCCTTTTTTCACCAGTCTGACACCCAACAGTCACTAAGACTTCTGTCAACAAGGACAGGCTAAATTGAACCTCAGGAAAACAACAGCAGGTGAGCCCAGCCCAACACCTCTGATCCTGCAGCCTCCTCCACTTCTCACGGGCAAGCAGGCAGGCGAGAGTCTGTAACATAGCAGCTCTCACTTCATCTCTTCAGACAAGAATTCTTGAAGGCATCTCTCAAATTATCTGTCGGAGAGTTCATCTCCAGCAGCATCCAACTAGTTTAGTTATTCCTGGCAGCTGTATCTTGTAGCACATTCATCCTCTGAATCAGTTACTGCCTACATCTATTTTCATAGGCAGATTTTACCCCTCGCTGGAAACGCAGGAGCTAAGACGACAGATGAGGAACACCTGTTCAAGAGCACAGTGTTTTTCTTCACACTAAAATTTGCACAGCTACAGTCCACCTACAATTACCAGCACCCTGAGCTGGCCAGCAAAGGACTGCACACAACAAAACCAAAAATTCATCTGTTTACCTTGTAATCTTCTACTGTATATTTCCACAATCCTAAAGGAGAAAGGAAAGAGACAACATTATACTTATTCCTATCTAACCATTGTCCTATCTTCACAATTAACTTGACACAATCAAACAAGACCACTGTACAGATCCATGTCCTTCCTGGAAATCCACACAACATCACGCTGCTGCTCAGTCCCTGGCCCAGCACTGCTGAAGGACTTCCCTTAGCACATCACTGTCTCTAGTGATGAGTCCCCCCTACTACCAGCCCAGAGACTGTTTCAGGGTCAAATCTGTCACTTCTCCTTAGAGCTTCTTCTGTTGGCTGTTACTGTTGAGTTACCTGTACCATCACCCACCTGCATCACACAGTTGCAAGGGAATCCGTGCCCAAAGAGGCCCTGAAAGTTAATCCTTGAACTGAGGTCAGACTAACTCCTTCTGCTTCAATCTAAACCAAATGCTGTTTAAAGGACAATTCAGATATTGGGATTTCCAGAAGGCTACTGAAATTAAGCAGGAGATGTTTTGGATTCTTGCATTTAACCACAGAGTTAACTATGAACAATGAGACAGAATTGGTTTTATTTAAAAACAGACACTCTCCACCCATATATCACACCATCCTTCACATTTCAGCGCAGGGACCACCTTCGTGCTGCTCTCGAACCTGACTTCAAATTTAAGCCATTTGTAGGTCAATGCAAGTGATACTACCATGATTTATAACCACGGTACTATAACCCACACATTTAAGGAAAGTCTTATAACTGCTCTGTAACTCAATGGGTTATTCATGCCAACCTCAAATGCTTAATTACACATCAAGTGGCCATGTAAAGAAGTTGCTACAGAAAGCTTTAATACCCATCTGGTCAGACTAGACAAAAACCAGACACTGAGGCAGTCAGTGGGATTAGTTACAGCCTGAGGCATTAGTTGCAAGAAACATTTCTGACAGTGAGATTTGCCTGCTGTTTTGGAGAGAGAATTATATGCAGAAACTCCCCTCCAGAAATGAAATGGTTGGGTTATAGCTACTCTAAACAAAGCAACGTAATATTTAGATTAAATATATGGATAGGAAACAAGCTGATGCCGAGATATTTTTACACTGGCATTGCATATAAGAAGTCCTATAAGCATGTTTATGTAAAAACAGTTACTTGCATTAGCATTTTCAAGCCTGAACTTGAAAAAAACAGAGATATTTGTTTACTGAACACAGGTCATCCACAACTACAGAAAATGACCACATTAGGCTAATCCTATTACGAAAGATTAGGCCTACAGTACCAACAGCCTCACAAAGCTTTGTTCAAACACTGGTTGCATTATATAGGGCACAAAAGGGAAGCACTACGTGGCCCACCAATCTCTTCATGGTAAGCACTCAAAAGCAAGTGAGGACTGAGAACATTTTGTTATACAATAATCTAATCTTTTCACTATTGCAGTATATGGGAGTTTTACCCTAACTTGAAAGAGGCAAGATTTAACCTTTCGAGCACAGCACAAGAAGCCTTGCACATAGTCATACAGGTTTCTATACTGAGAATAAAGAGGAGGAAAACTGTAGACTTCTAGCGCCATGTTGCCACTTGCATTAAAAATCATGAAAGACAGTTTTGAGCTCCTTTTTATATCTGCAGTTCAGAGGTACCTAGAGACCAGAGCAAGCACAAATCAACTGATGCGTATTTCAAATGCGATCCTTAACGCTGTGTTCAGGCCCTGCAGAAATGAAACCAAGTGCTTAAGACAGTCTCTTCAGGAAGGATGTTTGCCTTCCAAAATCCAACTCAAAAAAGGCCTTCACCACTTAAAGAGATCCAGCCACATGAGTGCCAGCCAACACATGAAACAAGCCATGAACTGCCACATGGGCATCCCCAAGTGTAAGCAGCTACAGAAGGAAAAGTCTTCTGCCCAGCAGCTGCAGTGCTGTCAGCTCAGAACCTCATCCTACAGCTTCAGTACTTAGGTACAGCCACAGGAAACACATACAAAAAAAATTTATGTGTTGAACTGCCTGTTTTGGCCTTTTAATCAGAGGAAAGTCTACTCCTATAAGCATTGCTAGAAGCCATGAAGATGGCCTCCCTGTAATGAGTTACATTAGCAAAGATGTGACCTCCAAGGGCCCTTCCACTCCAAACCAAATTCACTGTTGTGCAAGCAGAGCACAGAACAGAGCTGACCAACTTTAAAGCATTGTAGTGTCATATCCTACACATTTCTTACCTGCTAAGAAAACCCAGCAGGCATGCAGATTTACAAGGCTAATTCTCATTAGTATTACTGGAACTACAGCAAGATTAACAGACATTATCAGGGACGGTATAAGCAAAACCTATGTGGTCTTTCTGAACTACAGACAATTTTTCAGATTAATTTCTCAAGAGACCGTTCCACTCTGGTCCCCAGTAATCCGCTTATGGAAGAGACCTACCATCCCCTTCCCCACCAGAACTAGAAACTGTCACTTGATAACAAGACTCAGTGCAACAACTGATCCAAGGGCACTTGCTGAGGAAAAAGCCATTTTACATAACAAATGGATTCCTCAAGTGTATCATAATTGCTTTGTTTCTTAAGCTGAACCTTATCTATACAATCTACCCCACAGCTCTCTCAGCAGGTCTCAAGTGAAAGAAAGAAATGCCAAATTTATCTGAAGAGTCAGCTAACAGATGAAAGCTTTAGGTTCAATTTCAATTCAAACACAATAGAATGTGTTCGTTTACAGTTTGGAAGTTTTGGATTTTTGTTCTCATCAGTCAATATACACAACAAGCAGTAAACAGCTAAAGATCCCCACTAGTTTTTGTGGCCTGCCTTAGAACATGACCAAATTCTCTGTTGTACTTGCTTCTGTGCTCCCTGCAGACATGCATGCTTTGGATGAACGTACAAAAGCATTACAGCTCTACTACAGTCGACTGATGTGAATTAACACAGAGCTCTTAAGACTTATCTGTCCTCTCCACAAAAAACATAATGCTGAGGATTGGTCTAAACCCAAATCCAGGACACAGAGTGGGTTGAGCTTTAGAAGGGGACCAGATTATAAAGATTAGCACAGTTAGCACAGCTTGGAATCCTTTTTACAAATTAGCATCACTTTCATTACATTAACACTTACCTAGCAAGCTTGCTGAGGCCAAGTACTTGTTTGTTAGGAAGATAGCCAATATGTACCTAAACAGAGGAGAACAAACCATTAGCAGAATCAAAACCACACTTCCAAATGCATATGAAACTCATGCATAGAGAATGAGATGTGCATTTGCTCCAGAACTAACTCTGGAACAGTCCAGAAGTCCTAGCATGTGGGAGGAACATGCCACCATGCAAGCCTGAAAAATTGTGGAGCTAACAGAGACTGTAAATGTCTGGTGAGGTCAGTGTCCTGGTGAAGAATAGGTAAGTTTTCTGAGGGGGAGAAAAATTACAACTCTTGATTCAAGAGTCAAGGCTTATGTTCCAAGTCTCAGGAATGCTAGAGCTCTACTACATTTGGGTACAAAAAGCAGTCTATTACTCAGCACAGCGCTGTTCATCTAAAACAAACATGCTTTTATTCCAAGACCTAAAATGGATTTAGGGAACGGGAGGGAGAGGGACTGTACTGTACTTCCCGTGAAAGTTCTGATGGCAAGAAATACTTAGCCACCAAAATCAGGCTGCACTTACTGATTTTATTTTTTTCCTGCTTTGGTAGTACCATAGATCACTAAGATTAAGTCAACTTCTATCCTGCTCGAATATGGATTTGCTGAACATTCATACTGAACATGTAGTTGCACTAAGTTGGAATAAATTCTTGAGAAAAGCGCTCATATACAAAAGTAGGGGGAAAGTCATTTAGTTTCTTGTTTTTAGAAAGCAACATAGACTACTGAATTCCAGTGGGTTTACAGTTATAACAGATTATAAGCCAGCATTTGTGTCACTGTACTAGAGACTTGAAAAATTAGCCAAGATACAGTAGGGGAGTGTCAGTGTAGGATTCTGTCTTCGCACTCTGCCTAGAGGCCTCATCTCAGAATCCTGTATTGCTGTACCTGCAATTAGAGGTACCACAGTGCACCTAATTACCTGGCTAACTTGCTCATTCCTATCACTTCTGTTGGGTAATCAACCCACTGACACCTGAAAAGACATGAAACATTTCAGATAAATTAAGAGACACAACTTAGAAATAAGCGTTGAATCCTGTTCCCCATAGAGTATTTTTGTGAATGTCTTTATTTCATTTAAGATAGAACTGCAAATACAAGACCTACTGGTCAGTATTTGCAGCCTGTTTGATGTACCCAACAGGAGAATGGTTAGTCTGAGAATATTTAGAGGCATACCAAGTCATTTAGCAGACCATTATACGAGCAGGACCAATTCGGTGTTTGCGAGGAGATTTCTCCAAACCACACAGGCTAAACAGCTAGATGTAAAAAGAATGCATATATTGCCACAGGAGTAACGAAGAGAATATACACAGTACGTGTAACCAAGAATAACAGGCAAAATAGAAAGCTTGCACAGAAAGAGAAGTTACCTTGTTTTCCAGTATAAAATACTAGCAGTAAGAAAAGAAAGCAGATGAAATTGAGTTGACTCAACTAAGTAATTGGCTGGTTTCTGTTAGGGTTTTCATTTTTTGGAGACAGTTTAGTTGGAACATGTGTGGTACTGATCGAATTTTATAGACAACAAAAGCACTCACTACTCTCTGGCCTGCAAGTACTTTATGGTAGAGCAGATGGATCAGAATAAGCTTCATCCTTCTGTGCTGATATGAGAGTGAAGGGGCTGAGATGTGCAGAAGGACTACCCACTCTGAACCCTTCATCACATTTACAGCGGTTAACTTGAGAATTTTTATTTTGTTTTTGAAGTTATTGGCATCACAATTTCAACCGCATCTGAAACACCAGCCCCCTTCATGGGAGTCCCAACCTAAGCAGCCTCCCACTAATCAATGTTGATCACCCCCTCCCTGACTGGGCTTGCTTATTTAAGACAGGGCTGCTAATCAGAAGTTTGTTCCACTCACAGGGGTTCCTGAGGTGAATGTGCACTAGATAGCTCTGAGCCAGAAGCTAAATCCGTGACAGAGCCAGCGTGCAGGGTGAGCTGGTTTAATATCAAGATGTCTGCCCTCAAGGCTTGCCGCTGCTTCACGAAGAGCTTTGATATGAAATGTCAGAAACCATTACATTACTTAGACTAGGAAAGGTTGAGCATTGCATTTTAGGAACTTAAATCCAAATAAAACTCACATTAATTAAGGAGGTCTTCCTTATTTGTATTCTGAAGATTAACTTCTAGAATCATAGCCGTAAGCAGTAAATACTTATAGCTTTAAAAGCTTTGTAGTTACAGCTACAAAGTCTTTTACATATACTTTAGGTCTTTTATCATGTATTCCCACATTTGTTTTGTGAGGAAGTTACCTTTCCAACAAAAGGAACGAGGTGATGCTCACACAATGAGAACATGTCTATGTCCTTCACAATTACCATCTCATCATGATCTTCATCAAAGATGGCGTCATTCAGAACATCTGAAATTAAACATTTGCATTAAAAAAAAATAAATGCATAAGCATGGAAGGTTCTTCCAGCCAGTATCTGAGAAAGCTTGTAGCAAGAGCATAGCGCTCTCAGAACTACAGATTTCAGGGTTAAAGATATGGGAAGCAAGTAAGGAATAACTCACAAGTACGCTTTGGTTTGCATATGATCACACAATTGCCACAGTGTTATGTCAGACTACCTATGTGCTACACCAGAAGTCAGCCTATAGTGTTTTATATAGTTTGAGCCCAGGTTAGGACAAGTCTAGTCTTTGCAGAATCGCCGACATCTTAAGAGCAGTTAAGACTACAGCTGATAAAGCCAGTGCTGAAGATGAGATGCTGCACATCTCAAACTGGGCTTCCATTAGTGCTTCCACATACCACAGCCAAAGCTGAGCCTGAGGTTTGAGAAGGCACCAAAGTGGTTTCTTCAAACACTTCGACACTGGCATCTTCAAGAAGGCTTTGCATGCAAGTAAGATACTCTCTTATTTCATCCTGAAACAGCCAGCAACTGTTTAGGCATACACAAAAGTCAAAGAGACAGATCTGTATCCACAGACTGGGGAGAGATGTGCTGTCCTGAACTGAAAGCAGGCACGCATATGCATGCTCCAGCCTAATTCTGCACCTGACAACACAGAATTGAGGTGGAGAAACCCAGAAAGATAGAAGGAAGAGACAGCACAGTAAGAAAAGGAACACATAGCGTGACACTTTGTTAGTCCCAGAGCTCAACAGAACAGATCCTCAGCTGATTTTTCAGATTCTCAGCTGATTTTCCAGATTTAGCAGTCCCCCAACACATCCTCAAGCAATCCTGATACAGGTTACAGCAGACCACTATAGCCTCCACAAAGACCGCAGGCAGCTAGACCATGCTCGGAGAGGTTAAAAGTAGAACACCCTTTTGAAGGACAAGAGAGAAGAGCTGTATACAAGAGAGACAGGACAGAGCAGCAAGAGAGAACTAGCTGTACAGAAGGGCTGATAATCAGAACAAGGAACTCTGCAAACAAGTTAGCTTGGAGCCGCACTGGCAATTGGGGTTACTTCCAGGAACCAGAGTCACATATACCATGGCCAGAAGGGGAACCAGGGTGCTCAGGGACTGCCCTGCTTCATCCACAGTGGAGCTTAGCACCTGCAGTGACAAGTACACAAATCTAATAGTTGTGTCTGCTCTACTTGCCTTTATGCCTTCCCCTGACATGCACGTACACCTAATGGCCACCATCTGTTGTCGATAACGTATCATCATCATGGAGCATTTTAATTTCCTGCTTGCTATCAGCACTACGCAGGTAACCCTGGAAACTGCGCGCAAGATGTTCTGCCTGCAACGCACGTTCTTTCCTGAGAATGGCTGGTAACCTGCAAGACTGAACCCCACAAGACTTCTGATCAGGTCAGACGGCAGGAGTAGGGGCCACGAAAGAGGCCAGGAAAAACTCTGTAAAGGCACAGGATTTTGTTCCTCAAATTTCAGAGTCTAGTTTACACCAAACACCGTTAGAGAGGATTTTGATTACATGGGGAGCATCATGCAGTTGTATAACTATGAATTCAACCAGGAATAACCAGCATCTGAAACAGAGCAGGCTCAGGGGAGAGGGAAAGGGAGACAGAGCAGCCGTCTGGGTTCTTAGCTCCCTCCCGCAGCACTCTGCAGACATGCCATTTCGACAGCAGAAAGGCAAACAGTGGTTTCACAAATCCTGCTACTGTGCCCAGCATTATTAAAACAAAATCCAAACGGATCCATGAAGTATCTCCAGAGCGACTGCCGCTGTTATTAGACCACCAGCTTGGCTCATACCGGCCTTGCCAGGAGCGTATCAGAGCCTGATGTTAGATATGGATTTACGTCAGCACAGTCGCAAAGCAGACTGTTCGGAACAATCCAAAACGGCCATGTTCTCATTAAGAGTCATGGTAATGTGTGACACAGTGTAAGGCCAAAGCTACCACACAAGATACTTCAGCCGCTCAGTCTCATACATATGTACATATATATGCATATACACACTTATTCATGTGTAAAAGATGTATTAATATATCCTTACAGACTTTATCTGAGGAACCTAACTCTATTACTGGAATCCCGAAGAGCCACATCATATCATGGAGACAGCTGTGAGCCCTCTTTTAAAGCTGGGGGCAGGGGGGTGGGAAGGTTAAGTGGCCTGTGAAGTACCACACAGGCAACTTCAGGAACAAAACGCATCCTTCTCACGGCTAAAGCAAGCCAACAGGAACACAAAGGTCATCCATCCTTCTTGCATATCCCCTCTTGAGGCTACAGCCCAGAGTCACAGCAGTTTGGGCACTACCCCCCGCACAGCCAAGGGAGTTTTAGAGGTGTGTAAGGAAACAGATCACTGCGTCAAGAATATAACCACAGAGCTGTAGAATTGCTTCGTGCGTCTCACTTACACAGGCCTTGCCAATTTTGCACCTTGGATTTATTTAAGGTTAGCAGCAAGTTGCGGCCAGATCACAGACGATACCTGCTCACCCGCACAACCTCTGCGGTCATGTCTGCAGCAGGGTGTGCTGATTTGAAGTCAGCACCAGTTACTCCTTGAGAAGGAGGGCCAGAGCCCAGAACGGAAGAAATCAGCTTAGTGTTAGCCCCTCCAATAACCCCTTCACAACTGCCAGATGACACGGGGAGACAAAGGTAAAACAAAGTGTGAGACTGAAGGCCACTACCTGAGTAAATGGCCACAGTGTTAAGACAGACCCAGTCACCCCAACCCTGCCCCAGTCCCTCCCACTCCCTCTTCACAAGCCTGTTCTCCTAAAAATAAGCATAGCTTGAAGCTTGTCTATCCCTCTTTGAAATCCAAGCCTTGCGTTGACAAACGAAGAGTTAGGTAAGAGTAAACTGTGACAAGATGCTGTGCTATGTCCCACCACAGCACTTGTTTTCAGTAATTACACAGGAGAGACCTGTCTGGCAGACTCAAACGCTTTGTGCAGGGAAGCAATACCATTTTATCTTACTTTGTCTGCCTTTTTTAGTCATTCAATTTGCAACAGCATCAAACAGGGCCCCGACAAGCTCAGCCTGCATCCTATAGCACATGTTCTGGAAAACATAGAGCTGAAAGGACAGAAGGGGAAACAAGGCCTCAGATTAACCAGGCCAGAAGCAAAGCTGTGGACAAATTCATGCCTGTTCTTCCGTTCTTTCATCCTACCTACAAGACCACGCTGCCTGCTTCACTAGCTTGATTTCAGTTTTCTCATTTGGAGGCCCCAAAACATTTACTCTTGCCACTCAGGGCAAGATCTAAAAGTCATGTTGTCCCTCCACAGGCCTGCCCCAGTTCACACAGAGCAACATGGCTGTTACACTAGCTGGGTCTCGGCTCTAAAGTACTCACCTGCCCTTCTAATGCAACTGCATCTTTTCCATCCCTTCCTCCTGTGGGCACCAGGATCTTCAAAGCAAAAGCGCAAAGGGCAACAGGGCTTTTAGAGGGAAGGAGGGCTAGAAGTAAATATTGCTAGCTTGATTTCCTGACAAAGCAAGGTACCTGCAGCTCAGATGGGCTCCTCCTCAATAGGCTACTTTTCCTTAATACAAAAAGGAAATCCTTCCTCTTAAATGAAGTAACACTCTTAGTCCCTCCAAGTACCACCTACGTAATCATCCACATCAGTAGGACAGGACTACCATCTCCTCTGCTGGAAAGAAGGTGGGTATGTTCATACGTCCTCCCTTGGCCTCTCAGTCATACCTCCCCTCACTCAGTTCACAGCTGTGCTCAAGTGATGCCACCAAGTTCTGTTTATAAGCCAGAGGAGACTGCAAATAACACCATTTTTATTTTCCACCACCTCAGAAAAGCTAAGGGAATTTACTGCTTAAGTCCTTAAGCCTAGATACATCGTATTAAGAAAAGCTAAAACACGAATTAAAATATATGGCTGGGAGGAAGGGACAAAACCAAATATTTTATGTACAGTTGGGGTGCTCTAGATTATTCCAGCTGATTTTTCCTTCAGCTCAGAGTTCAAGTCCGGGCATAGAAACTTCAGCGGACTCTTAAAACTGAACAGTCATTTCTGCTGCAAGTTAATTCCTGAAACAGAGCAGAATTAATTTTTCCCCCTCTATCTTCAAAAAGAATTGATAAATGCAAAAATCAGAATTGAATGAAGACAAAACGAGAAAGACCTTTTGGGATTTTGCGTCAGAGCTAAGCAAAAAGACCTGTTGCTATAGAAACTATTTGCATGGCTTTAATGTAACACAGGAAAGCAAAAGCACCTCTGGCAACCAACGAAGCGAGAGCCCACCCGGCAGCTGGCTCAGTAGGTGAAGGGAACGAAGGATGGCAGCACTCCGCAGGGCAGCACTGCAGCAGCTTCACAGCCCTCCAGGCATCCCATTTCTACTACGTCTGGGAGACAGAAGAGTGAAGTGATGTAGGTTGTTCCCGTTACAAGTTTAAGTACCTCCCCGTGGTGTTAAGTTGCCCCACTGCTCCACTTGAGAGAGGAGTCAGACTGAAGACTGTTCAGTGTCAACAGGATGAAGGCAGCCTCAGAGATTCCCTGTTACCGTTCCTTGAGCTCATTCACCCTGGCAGAGGCATAAGGCACAAGGCTCTCCTGATACTCATCACACAGCTCCAGACTGTCCTCGCTGGCAGTCCCTAAGCTCTCCATGGTGACCCATAAGTTGCAGCAGGCAGCTGAGGCCATCATAGGAATGGGTTCAGGCCACAGGAAGCAGATGTCCTATGAGGGTGGTGGGGCGAGTCACACCATACCAATGCTCATTAGCTCAAACAAACTAAAGTACAGGCTGCAGTCAGGTACCTCCTGCTCTCCTGGGAACACAGACAAGAGTTACACCAAAACCGATGGCAGGGGACCTTGCCTACATGAACTAGGAACAGGTCATGGTTTGGAGGATACTCCAGAACAGCAGTGCCACAAGCCAGCAACCAAAGGCTAACCATTCACTAAGGCAGAATGAGCTAGGGTATGTTGGCAGATACCTTTGACTGCCTTTCTCAAGAAGTTCCTCTTCCTCTCAAGACCAATGTAATTGAGAGAGCAGGAGCCATGAGCCAACAGCTGAATGTGTGGTAGGAAACCAACAGACTACAGGGCCAGAATTAGATCTGGAAGGAAATTGCTGTAAGGAATTTCAGTTGCTTTCAGTTGCTGCTGGGCAAGTAGTAAGATGTAGTAGAATCAAAACTGAAACCTGTTACTTATTCAGGTGATGACACTCCAGGATAACTGCAGTTAGAGAAGATATTCTAGAAAACCAGCACAAGAAAATTATTGCAGCCTTCCGGTGTTCAAAAGGTACCAGAAAGTTATTACTCATAGACAGAAAAGAATCAGGTTACAAAAACACTCATTCATATAGAGAGAGTTCATACTGCTGCAGAAAGTTAATGACTTCAGGTTGCTAAGAAAGGGAGTGATCTGGGTGTGTCAATGCACAACAGAATTACCATTTGCTTCAAGAAGTCTTGAAGAGCTCTAAAAAAGAGAGTGCCTAAGATGCCACATTATATTTAAATAGGCAAGAGTTCAAAAGCTGCAGAGACAATTAAATGGGCACTATGTGGCTTCCTTGCCATAACACATTTTCCTAACAGGAAACAAAAAAAACTCAGACACAAAAGAATTTACAAGTTTGACTAATATTTCAGATTTCATCACTGAGACACCAAAGGATTAGAAACAGACATTCAACTTCAGACAGGAACATTTGCTTCAGAAGCAAAGCTTAATTCCTCAGTTAACCAGTAGAGAGGTGAACCAGATGTGTAATTTAAGGTACATTTCATAAAAGCAAAAATTGAGGAAAAGCATTATTGCTATTCAAGTAATTCTGGCCATCGTTTGTACAGATTTGTTTCTTTTCCTATAAGACACCTTTCTGTGTTGCAGTGAGACTCAGGTTTATTCATAAGAGATCAGTTATTGCAGAGTCTCAGATGAAGCTAAGATTAGGTTCTAGAAGTTGTCCTCTGCCAGGAGGTTTATTAATATGAGGGAAAGGAGGGTTATGTCAGATGCTCATTACAATGTATCAGAATTTTCAATAACCATTTCAATGTCTCATGTCATAGAAGGTGCTGAAAGTCCCCCCCATCCACACTTCTTTCTGAAATCAACACACAGGAAAATCAGAGATGAAACAACACTTTGGAAAAGAAACATGAAGAGATCAGAAGCCTTTAATAGTTAAGATCCAAGAGGTTAAGACGTTTAATAAATTCCCAACAAAACCCCAAAAAAGCTTAACAAATCTGGTTTTGCTTAAGCATTAACGGGCAGAGAAGATCATCCTGGGAAGGCCTGCAGTCCTAGTTCCCAGCAGAAACGACACCACATCAAGTACCTGTTCCAGTACGGTACGCTTCACCCAGGCAGGGGTAGAGGTTGAGGAAAGAAACCCCCAAGAACCTTACTCAACTTGTATCTCCCACCCTCCAGTTTGTAAGAAGCCACGGCTATACCAGAGTAATGTTGATGTTTAAGTTACTACTAGGTTAGACTGTTGCATCTACGAGAAGCAAGAGAACTAGCAGTATCTTGTTTCCAGGAAAGAAGGAAGTAACTCACCAGCTCTTTGCAAAGGGTAGTGCTGCTGATCAGCCAGCCTTGTTTAAGGCACTGCCTATTTTTACGTAGCGATGCTTAGCACCTCTCACCCACAGCACACTGAGTAGGCTTGGAAAAATTTATGCGCTTACACCATTGTTGTCATCTGTCAAAATACCAAATCGACACAGACAAGAAGATGAAGAAAAGAGTATTAAGGTTGCATTTTTTCACCCTTCACCATAGGAGAAGCACATAAACTAATGAGAGAGGAAAAACAACATACACACAGTTCAGAATCTACTGTATGAGACCTAACTAGTTGTTACTTGCTTTAAAATAAAAATTGCACAGAGTCACTTAGCTTCCAGGCAAATAAAACCTACATGCAGTCTTTCAAACCAGAGAGCTTCAGAGAGCAAAGTTACCTTCTCCTAGCATTCTGATTTTCATCTCCCTGTTAAGCATGCTGAAAGGACAGCTGAACCTGCCAACATGCTTGAAAGCTAACATACCTACCAGAAAAGTCTTCTAGCCTTTATTCATGTAACAACTATTACCAGCAAGTACACTGTTTAATAAGCATGCTGTTCTACTTAGAGTGCTTATGGCTGATGAAAACAAGTTAACTTCCTACTGCAGATGCAGGCAGCTTGTTCAATCCTGTGCCTAACATTTCCTACAGGATTACACAACCAGAACCAACTCCTTTATGGTTTACTTTTTGAAGCCAACATCACTGATGCTCACCGTAACTGACACCATTTCTGTAACTTATCAGTTATCTCTGCTTAACAAGATTGATTCTGAAGTCTTCAGCTTCAGTTACAACTTAATACTGTCTGCAATCTTGTATGGCCATTTATTCACTCATTTACTGCATTTGCACACGCTTGTGCTTTGTAGTATTTATACAGAGGCTCACAGACAGCACCCCCCAGTATGACATTAAGCCTTTAGTAAAAGGAGAGACAGATCTCTCAAGGTTTAGTCTTTTTGTATGGCAGACAATTGCCTGAGCCAACTATAAGAATGTTACAGGCAACCAGCTATCAACAGTCTGGTTCACCTCTATTATTATTCTATTCTCGCCAAGAGAGCAATATATTTACTTTGCAATATAATTTACTCCCAGAAATATAAAGCTGACAGACCTGACCCTGGAAAAGAAAACAAGTTCTTGGATGCTCATGCAAAAGCAGTGCATGAAATTGAGCAGTCAAACTTTTGGTATCCTGTCTGCTCTGACATCCTTACCAACACAGGAAGCGGTTTCTGTTGTAATGGCTGTTAGTTTACACAGATGTCCAAGTGTGAACCACTAGCATTTTTAATCTGGTCCCCAGGTGGATTTTATTTGAAACCACTGGAGGCATTCTTGCTCCTCCAACAAAAGCTTGTTGACTAGTACTGTAGAAGTGAGATCAAGACATTTGAATACATTTTCTCAAAGAAAGAGGTTGAGGCCTTTAGTAAAGCCAGGATTAATAAAAAGACATAATCTAGAAAGAACAGCAAGAGCCAGATTTAGACATTTAGCAAGTAAAGCCTACTAATGGCTCTGAAATGCAATATTGACCAGCTGCAGAACTCAGATAGCAAAGATGAATAAGAGGTAAAACAGGAACACTCTT